TACTTCTGCCCCCAAGTGGCAACAAAAATCTGTCATATACAGCTACAAGGATCCCTTGGATCTTTTGGATCCTGTTGGTTGTGGGTTGGAAAGTCCTTGGACCTCTTTATTATTGATCAAGTCATTCCTGGGCAGTTTTTATGGTGTGATGCATTATTCTGATGGGAGAGACCACTGCTGTCCCGGAGTGCCAGGTGGGTGTCTCAAACAACGTGTAGCTACATGCCAACTAAACAAAACAACCAAAACAAATCCCAAGAGACAAAGTTTCTCTCCACTGTAAAAAGAGAAGGTCAAGTTTTTTCACCTCGCCTATCAGTCATTATAATGTTTATAAAGAAGTATATATATTTCTATAACTCATTAATGTGTGTGAATCCTTTTTCTTCTCTAATTTCTGTTTCTTCATTGCTTTGCCATTAAATATATTTTATTATGTAGGAATTCCTACATAATAAAATCATCTGTGCTACAGGACTAATATGATACACAAGATTTACTCTTCATGATATTCTACCATTCAGCTTGATAGTACCTGTGTCATTTAAATGTAATCCTCTAAGTGTAATGCATGATTAACCCTGTAGAGGTCAGTGTAAAGTTGATATAGTTTTATCATGCCAGGCTGTACACAGAGCCAAAATATTTAATAAGGTGCTGGTTTGAGCACAGACTGACTCAGATGATGCTGAAAAGGGTAATATTGTATAAGCCTCACATTGCTAATGCACCTGTTCTCTTATCTGAAAAGATCAGCTTTATGAGGTTTGCAGAAACAAAGTGTGGAGAGGTAGTTTTTGTACCCTTTGAGAAGTATCTGAATTCATGAATGTTTTTCTTTTCAAGATATATTTCAAAGTTCAAAGTGTTTTAATGCAAGTTGTATATCTTTTTCGCCTCTAAAACAAAATTCTGGTCAGAGTTTGACACTTTAATCCACTCTCAGATCTTCCTTCTTTTCTCTTCGGGTTGTTGTTTAGCTGCAGAGGCTTTCTGAGCCATTGTGCTCTTCTAGAGACACAGTAATAAACAGCTGAGTCTCCAGCCACAACTGAGTGTATCTGCAGAGAGGACCTCAGGAGGGAAGGCCGGGACATACTGTACTTGGATTTGTTGAAAGGAGCTTCAGTGTCCCACACTTTCTCACCAAGAGAATAGGTTATTAGCTCTATTTTCCCACTCTTGCTTTGTCTGTACCAAAACATGTAGGAATTATCCTCATCTTGACTACAGGACAAAGTTGCAGACTGATCTCCAATGTGACTGTTTATAAATGGATCCTGTTTGATTCTTACACTGAAGGAGAAATCTGGAAAACAAGATGAAAGGCAACAAGTGAGCATGCAAATTCTTCAGCACAGAAAAATATTTATCTCTAAATTTAAAGTACTTACTGGAGAAGATTAGTACTGCAACCAAAAAAGCGTACATCATGATCATTATTATACACTTAGGGGGAAAAAGTAAGAACCATTACAGTTAGAACCATTTAGTCTGCTGTTGGGCTGAAGAGCTGCATGTGTCATTCACTGTCTTCTGCAATCAAAGCTTCTAAAATGAGTTCAGATCATCCTCCTCTTATTTTACCACAAAGCCTTCACTCACTTTCACATTTCATAGGTTCTTACAGCTTTCTCTGCAGTTCAGCAGTCTCCTAGTGGACACTGAATAGCAACTGCAGAGCAGGGTTCTTGTTATAGGGCTTATGGTCGATAATGCTCCAACACAATTAGAATTTTATAACATAAAAAAGCATGATCGATTCAGAAATTTAATCAGTGCTTCTCAAATTTTTGATGTACATTTCAAATTTTACTTTTCCAACTTTAAAGAAGAAACTGGACACAGTCTTTGGAGATTTGTGTAGTAATTTATGCAGCATGTGGCGTTTTCACTCAGGTCCATAAGATCCAGTTATGAAGACAAAGCTGAAGTCACAGAGATCCATAATCAAGAAGCAACCAAAGACCTGACAGAGCATCTCAGGGGAGGAAAAGCAGCATTTGGAGATGTCCATGAAAAAGATTTTCAACAAATGTTTTAAAAATAGTT